CGAGTCGCAGTGATTTTTACTGGGGTACTGAAGGCATGGAGTCACAGTGATTTTTACTGAGGTACTCAAGACATGAAGTCACAGTGATTTTTACTGGGGTACTCAAGACATGGAGTCACAGTGATTTTTACTGGGGTACTCAAGACATGGAGTCACAGTGACTTTTACTGGGGTACTCAAGACATGCAGTTTTAGCAATATTTACCAGGGTCCTGAACACATGATGTTGCAGCAACTGTCAAGAAATACCCATCTTCAAAATGCCATAAAATAATCAAACTGACAAGTTATATGTAAAACACTGAAATCAATGTCAATAACTCCATATAATGAAATAACAAATTACAATAATAAAAAAGGTTTGAAAAGTTTTACATTTGACATAACATCTCTACACATTTATGCTATATCAAATTGAATTTTATTTCATCCATGTGTAGTGGAGCGTGTTACTAATGCAACCCTAAAACAGTAAATATATTGATGTCAATTTACCTGAAGGAATTACAAATTGTTATCCAATGAGATGCCCTGTTGATATTTGCTTATTATGGAACTTAAATAACCACTGGCCTGCCAAAGAACAACTAAACCTAAAACTTTGTTTTTGTACCCACTTTGAATTAAATCTCTTTAGGCAAGTCAAAAAATGATGTTGAACATACATACATACAGACAGACAGACAGACAGACAGACAGACAGACAGACAGACAGACAGACAGACAGACAGACAGATGGAACCGAAAACACAAGTCCCAGTTTCAAATAGATTAGCACAAAATAATACTGTATTCATGAAAATAATTCCAGTGAGCTGCTGTCAAGTACTGATAATAACAGAGACAAATATTGTGTTCTAGAGAATCTCAAAATGTTGAAAAGAGCGTTTTTGTCATGACCAATAAGAATGCTTTCAAAAAATTTAATTATTATAGAATGCACTGAGTAATGAGCTTTATCATATTTCCTCTATGCTCACTTTCAAATTGTTTAATTTAACCATAGCAACCAGTATTCAATGACAAGATGTAAATATTAGAAATTTATAACATTATGACTGATTTGTACAATTATTTTGGTATAGTACAGACAACATGAACTTATACAAGGACAGATAGAAACAGGTTTGCAAATACCATACCTCCCATACATTAAGGTTGTACAAATACCATACCTCCCATACATTAAGGTTGTACAAATACCATACCTCCCATACATTAAGGTTGTACAAATACCATACCTCCCATACATTAAGGTTGTACAAATACCATACCTCCCATACAGTAAGGCTGTACAAATCCTTTATACAAAAGCAGACAGCAACAGGCCTTAAATTCCATACTTTCCATGGGAAGTATGGGTGTATGAATCTTTTATACAATCACAGATATCAATGGGATTTAAACTCCAAGTCCAACACCGCCCTTAAAATAAGGGTGTACATACCCATTACACAAGTACAGACAGCAAAGTGTTCCTTATACGTTAAAAAAATTCATTGAAGATGGAGAACAGACATTTACAATATAATTGTATTTGAAAATAAAATAAAAAATGCAACTGTTCGGAACATGTTTGCATAAAAATTCATTGTTCATGATTCTATAACATTCTCTTTTGTATTTTGTCATAAACATTTACACAATAATTTAACTATAGTAAAAAAATAATCAATATTTCATTTTTCAATTACATAGTTCCATAGAAAAATTCTCTATTATTTCTGTTGCCATGGCTACCAAGTTTTACTCTGTCAAGCTTACACAGGATTGAGCGGAATGGTCGTCAGATACCTTGGATCGTATTTGGGCCAATAATTTGGATACAATTTTGATGATTGGTAAACAAATTGGTCAATAATTCTCCGGTTCATTTCTTTGAATCTAATAATAAAGAAAAAGTTAGTGTTATCCTTAGAACTTATTTGTAAGTTATGTACATAGATTACAATATGATGAAAATCTGATGTATTAGGAAGAACAGATTGTTTTCCATTGATGATCACATCTTAGCTACTTCTTGCGAAATAACTATATACAAATCATATTCTGGCAGCTGTTCTCTGATGGGATCTCTCGCCCAATCACAGCATGGCTTACTAGAGAGCAGTCTGTACATTTGTTGATGATTCTACATGTATGAGACTTGACTGACATATTAATTTGATCAGATGGAGAGAAAGGCAATGTACGCAAACAGTACATTAAAAGTGACTAGAGTCTCTATGCATTAATGTGTTCTAAACACCATTCATATAAGTCACACTGCAGAGGGAGTGCCCTCGGCAATTGTGAATGAAAGCAATGTCACTCAAATTATTATTGTGTACATGTAGTTGTTTATCATTTAGAATATAGTAAAACATATTCTTCATTGATAGACACAAATCACAGATTTTTTTTGGTATCACTATTTACGTAATAGAAGTGCTCCATCACTACAGGGTGTGATTTATAAGAAAGGTTTATTTGTGTGCTGATGAAAAAAAAAAAGTTTGTTTGTTCATGATATTTGTAGCAATTCAAATCAAATTTTTAAATATATCAACCAATAACAATAATTCTATAAATAAAGCCATAAGTTTGTCAATATTCATAGATTTACCTATAAACACTATTTGGCAGTGTGTGTGGGTAAATCTATGAATTATTGACAAGCTTATGGCTTGTATGATGTGTATGATGAAATTGGGTCAAGAGTTCCTTTTATACTCCCATCCCTCACCCTAAATCTAACACTCACTCCCTGTTACCCAATTCATTTGAATATGCCCCCTCTAGATAACTATCGATGTCTTTAGGAGGGACATGTACAATTAAATGGGGAGTGCTGGAGGGTAGGGGTAGGGTTAGGGATGGAGGGTACAAAAGGAACTCTTTTCGAAATTGTTGGTGGAGTGTCGCATCACACTATTTTATATGCATTTTCCTCTGTTCAGAATTATGTTACACTGCGGATCTGTGCATGTGATAATTAGGTGTATACGAAGATGAAAATAGATAATATAACCGTGCAATAACTTACCTGAAATTTGTAAGTTTAACTAAAAAGTTCCAATAGGATGGTCTTAGATTATGAGGTTCAAACACAGCCTGACAGAATAAACATAATACATAATAAACACAAGTTTTACTTCTTTTTTCCATTTCACTTTTTCCTTCATCATGGTGTACAGCAATGCGGTCAATAATATTCACATATAATATGGTGATATGGTAATGATAACAATTATAAATGAAATTATGTGCAATAATTTAAATAAAGCCACGTTAGCAGAACGCAGAGATTATTTTGATATGGTTTTTATGTGTCAGTGTGTCTTAGGGTTGTACAGTTGTTGTAAATTATCTTAATAAATAAACAAACAAACAAATAAATAAATACTAGTACAGTCAGATTTTAAAAGTGTACTTACCAGATGCAAGTTAATTGCAGTAGATATGGTGTAAAGAATAGAGTCACCGTGTTTAAAATAAGGCACTGTACCAGCATCCACACCTTTAAAGTATACTAACTGCAAATAAAGAGCCAAAAATGAGAATGAAGATAGAACAAATCAATGGGATATCAAAGATACAGGTTCATGAAAACTGAACTGAAAAAAAAAATTGTTTTTGCTTTGATTATATTCAGACAAATGTGGTGCTCCTCACAAGTGAAACATACTAATAAAAAACACTCACATCACAGGAAAAAAATGCTCTAAATTAGATATGTGCTCCATAGGTATCAATGGTTTCTATTTTAGCTTTGTTTATCTGTACTTGTAATCATATGATTAAATAAATACTAAATTTGTTCTGATAAACATTCAGAGGAAACCATTATATAGGCAGTTTTTTATGAGTACCTGCACACACAAATACATGAAAAATAAACATTACCTCTAGTAATTTGAATGCTACATAAAGAGCTATGGAAGAACTTTTATAATAAACCATTGACAAGCCTGATATAAAACCTACAGACAGAAAAGAAGTGTTGATGCTCAATACAACCTTTGACCCTGGATGTCAGATATGACCTATAAAGGTCTCACATCCTGGCATTTCATGAATGTCCCAAAACAGAAATAAATTCCTAATATTATATCTCAAAGTTTGGCCATGATTTTGAACTTTAGTGACAAATGCTTGAAATTGTTCAGATTCAGGACATTTTCCCCCTCAAGAAAGTACCAGGATTTTATATCAATTGTATGTAAATGTCAGGAGTTCAGAGACAGGATTGAGGTATAAAAATTAGAAGGTTTCTTGTTTCAAATAACTGGGATTATGCTGTAGTACATCAGTGGACAAGAGAACCCTAAATCCATGACACTCCTTTTGCAGGAGGAAAGTGGGTTTGAATACACCAACTACAGTGAGGAGGGTTTAATCTGACAAGGAACGTTTTACAAAATGTTTTCCTCTCTGCGACTGTTTGCACACCATGAGAAGGGATTGACAAGCTCTACTATTGTTATATATAGGTTTTTACAAGAGCACAAAACTAAACAACAAGACATAATAATATTACCTGCAATAAGTCCATGTATTTTATCATCTTTATTTCTAAACCATCTTAATACACAACATACAGCCTAGACAAATTCAAATATCATTGCACATTACTAGAATATATCATTATATTTACATGTAGATATATATATATATATATATATATATATATATATATATATAAATATATTATAATTGCATATTTATAGTTAGTATCAAAGTCATACCTACCATCAATAACAATGTTCTGAGAAATATACCATTATAAGCAAGGGAAAACAATGAGAGAGTGTGACTGAGTGTAATAATGTGACTCACCCTGAAAAGACTTGATAATAGTCCTAGAAAAACACCAAGACCCAAACTGTCTGATGAGATCAAAGATTTGTAAAAATATCTGTAAATGTAACGAGGATTTTTAAACATAGCTGGAATAGTTCCTATGAATGTAAGAGCAGTCTGGATACCGTAGCCCATCCAGAAATTTCTCAAAAAACCCTGAAAAAAATAACTTAGAATTAGTAACAATTGTTATATATTAATGATAAATGAAGATAATTCAGATGCTACATGCTTGTTCCAGGGCCTGGTTACTGCCAAATATGGTCAGCTGATGTTCTCACATGATACCCTATTGACCAATCAGTGTATGCAATTGTGTTTTCAAAACATGTTATCTGTACATTTCTTGAAAATCACTAAAAAGTTGTGACCCTTTAATTAGTTCTATACTGTTGTATGAATATGTCATATAAAAGAAGATGGATTCTATTACATGGCCTCTGGTGGCACTATACATGGAACATAGCCATGAAAAAAGTTGTGCAAAATTTGTTGTTCAAAATCAATATGAGCATGATTTTTCGTTTCTCATAATAAATGTCCTGCTATTTTTCATCAAAACATTTTTTTAATTAAATAGGATATTAATAAATGAATAAACAAAAATCCACATTTTATGGTTACAATAACTGAAATCAGATATGACTATTATTACAGCTACCTGTACATAAATGTAGCATTGGTAAATATTGTCAATCTGCCCATGACAGTGATACTGCATTTCAAATTTATCCTTTTTATTTTTCAAATAATGTAATACTGTGTGATGAAAGAATACCTACATTTAATATATAATGTATACATCCAAACTGATGTTTGCATAAACGATGTTTGACAGAACTCTTCATTCTGAAAAATAATAATCATGTTTTATTACTTTTTTACCAGCATACAAACTTATACAAATTAAACAGACTTAGAAGATGTAAGACTACTATCAATAATAATGATGTTGGACACCCCAGTGAATTTCAGGTAACCAATGAGTTGAAGTGTCAAAATCTACCTTTATAACTGTATCACTTCAGATTTTGATGTTGGGTTTGGAAGATCAAAACAAAAATTAATTATGTTTCCCCGGTTAATATTACTTTTAATATTAATCTACTGAAATAATCCTTAAAGAATAGAACATGGTTTGTACGAAAGTTCCAAAACAGTGCAACAATTAACCGGTAAAATGGTCATACAATTTAGTGGAAAATAACTGCAGGAGAATATTTTTTCATGTGTTCATCAGTCTGGTGATCATCTGACCCTTTCAAGATATAAATATAAATTTCTTGTTTTTGTATTATGTGTAATAACATTCTTTACATTTGATAGTACATGTACTATATTAATTTCAGGGCTCCTTACAGAATAATAAAAGGTTAGTACGAAGATACCTCAAAGTATGCACGAAGACAGTACAGCGGCAGTATCGGCCGACGCACTACTGTCTGAGTGCATACTTTGAGGTATCTTCGTAATAACCTTGTTATTATACATCTTTTCCTTCCAGGGATGCATCATGGGAATGCCGGAATCTAAATATTTTAGAACTGAATCAGTGAACTTCTTTTTATGGAGTCCGGTCAAACCCTGGTGGCAGCCATGTTTGTTCTTATTATTAGAGGACGCTTACACGCGTAATCATTCCATATTTGGAATTCGCATTTCCCAATATGGTAGGATGAAAATACCCTGTAAAATACCGCAAAATTACGGCACGCTGTAACTTATGGCGTTATGGTGACAGATGTATAATAATATAACAGAATTGCATAAAGGTTTACAAATAGTTTTTGGTGGCAAAAATTATTGATATTACATACATGTAATATCTGGTTACTATGCTTTATAAGTAACAGATCTTACAACATCTGGTTCTCATGATCAGCAGTACAAATGTCTCCATTTCTGCACTTATGTATGTCAATGAAATTCCAGTCAAATTCTCCTGTATATCTTAAATATGATATAAATGTATACTAGTCATAACAAAGTTGAGATATTGTTACTAATAATTTTTCTCAGTTTTCTGCACTATATTTGAATTGAATTTGAAGCTCAGTTGTAAAGGTTTGTTTCCACTCAGAGACAGACATCTGGAAAGAATATATAACATTCTTAAAATACAAAGCCAAAAATTGCAAATTGTTACCAATAATTTTAAAATATATTTTGGAGTTTAAGAAGATTAGACAAAATTACTTGCCAACAAGTATTAAAACAAAAAGTAAATACAATACATAGTCCCTGTGAGTTCTTAAGTTTAACAAAATCACTACCATTTTGGAAATGCATGATTTTGAAGAATTTATAACAACCACAATTCAGGCATCTTGATTCAGATGAATAATGAATATTTATGTGTGATATGATGTATATTTAATTCATTCATTAAAAAAAAGTGCCACCAGTTGGCCATTTTGAAACTAATTCATACAAACATGCATTGGAGACCCAATGATCCATATTGTCCAATGTTTGTACCAAGTTTGAACGAAACATCCATACACAACCCACTATGGCTCCAGAATAGCGGAAATGCTTGATTTTGATGAATATTGAAAACATTGACTTGATTCATCACTATGAAGTATGATTTTCGTGCTGGAATCATGCCACCATTTTTTTATTTTACCTCCAGAGCCTTCAGATTGTGGTTTAATTTAAAAGTGCGCCCTCTAGAGTCGGTTTTTATATTCGAGGTGTAAAATTTTCAACATTAAAATGGTCTATTTTAGGCTATTTTGAATCTGATCACCAAACAATTATATGTTCAAATGTGCGACATGACGTACAACAGGTAAAACCAACATGGCCACCAGTCAGCCATTTTGAATCAAATCACAAATTAGCATAAATAATTTGAAATCGACCCAGGCATGCCTGCAAACCATGGGATTATTAGTTTTTTAATGCACTGTCTAATAAACATGTCAAGTAAATAGACATGGTTCAATTTGAACTTGGGTCTTATAGCTGGCATTTCAAACATTGAGATATGAAAGTTGGATGCAGTGACATCTACCAAAACTATAGACATTACATAGACATATCTTTTCATTCATGTTTCATAATAAATATAATAATATTCTGTAACATTGTAACTATGACAACAATTTGCATGAATTATAATAAATGCAATAGCAAAACATACCTGTCAATATATTGCTGCATGTCTGGAGATAAACTGAATCTAGATCTAACTGCTGTTTCTGGTTCACCATCTTCACTTTGTACAAGTTCAGACGGTCCGAATATAAACCTTTGAGATAAACATTCAGAGACAGGAAAATAAAAAGTAAAATAACTTAATGTGCAGTGGTTATATGGGAGACTGGAAGTGTACATAACATATATATAAGCAAGCAAAACTGAATATGTCACAAATATTGAAAGAAATTACTTGTGACTTACTTGAGAGCTGACTGAGTAGTGGAGTCTAGTCCATCTTTCATTCTGAAAATTATAGATATAAAATTATTATATCAATATCAGCTTCAAGTACCATTCCTACCAGTTGCCAATTTAGTTTACTTTAAAATTGACTCTACAACCTTTTTAAACCGAACATTGAAACTTTTCCAAACCGAACAGTGAAACCTTTCTAAACTGAAAACAGTGATACCTTTCTAAACCGAACACAGTGAAACCTTTCCAAACCGAACACAGTGAAACCTTTCCAAACTGAACACAGTGAAACCTTTCCAAACTGAACACAGTGAAACCTTTCCAAACTGAACACAGTGAAACCTTTCCAAACCGAACACAGTTAAACCTTTCCAAACCGAACACAGTGATACCTTTCCATACTGAACACAGTGAAACCTTTCCAAACTGAACACCGTGAAACCCTTCCAAACTGAACACAGTGATACCCTTCCAAATCGAACACAGTGAAACCTTTTCAAACCGAACACAGTGAAACCTTTTCAAACTGAACATGGTGAAACCTTTCCAAACCCAACACAGTGATACCTTTCTAAGCAGAACACAGTGAAACCTTTCCAAACTGAACACCGTGAAACCCTTCCAAACTGAACACAGTGATACCCTTCCAAACCGAACACAGTGAAACCTTTTCAAACCGAACACAGTGAAACCTTTTCAAACTGAACACGGTGAAACCTTTCCAAACCCAACACAGTGATACCTTTCTAAGCAGAACACAGTGAAACCTTTCCAAACTAAACACAGTGAAACCTTTCCAAACTGAACACCGTGAAACCCTTCCAAACTGAACACAGTGATACCCTTCCAAACCGAACACAGTAAAACCTTTTCAAACCGAACACAGTGAAACCTTTTCAAACTGAACATGGTGAAACCTTTCCAAACCCAACACAGTGATACCTTTCTAAGCAGAACACAGTGAAACCTTTCCAAACTGAACACAGTGATACCTTTCCAAACTGAACATAGTGATACCTAATCCAAACCAAACAAGAAGCATTAAACATGCGGTGTGGTACAATACATTTTTCAAGTGAAACGTAAAGCAAATCTGATGGACTAATTATATAAGGGAAAATTTGAATTTGAATCCCCCCTCCACTGTTTACAAGTGTTATCGAATGTGTTTCTATGTGCTAACAGACACATTTACTTACACCAATGTCTACCTACCATGTATGTATTGTCACTATCAGTTTACAATAATGCATTTAAACATGTCATCTCATTCATTTTATGAGACTTATGCTTAAAATTACATCACAATTATATTCTACATATATTCGTAATTGCATATTACAGAATTATAAATACGTGCATTCTTATTGGTTGACTAGATTCATCACCATGCTGAAATAGGCTCACCATTTTTCCTATTTTACAACCAGAGCAGGGAAAGATTATAGTTTAATTTGAAAGAGCGCCCTCTGATGTCAGGATATTATATTCAATATTGTAGTTGATGGCGCTATAACAAAAATTTGCTTATTTGGGATAGATGATCCAGCAGTTCTACATTAATCAGGTTTTCTCCATACTCTAAAACCAGATGTGTTTTTATAATCAAGGTGTGAAATGTTTTTGTTTGGTAGTGAAGAACTGCGAACGGGCATATGTGGATGAATTAGTGTTGAAAGTAGATATAATGGCAAATGTTGGCAAATACAAGACGAAAAAACTGTGCTGGGAAATATGAGAGCAGTGAAACTACTTCAAATATCTATTTGTGTACACACACCAATTCATGATAATCCGTAGTGCCGATAATGGCAACACTGTAAAAAAAAAATAATTGAAAATACGACAACTGCGGAGATGGAATGGTGGGATGAGGAGGCTCTGCTCACACTAGAAAGGTATCAAGGATTTCACATCGCCAGCTGCCAGGCAGCTTCACTACTAGCGATAAGGTCAAAGGTCATGGGGAAACCTACTTGAAGGTTGTTAACAGTGAGAATAAGAAAATCTTTTGTTGAAGTATTATACAGCCACTAGTAACCAAGCTGGTTTGGTTTCTCTGTCAGAAACAATCAAAGCTACTTGTTAGCTTGTGCTGCACAAGTGGAAAGAAATCTACAACATGTATGGCATTAGCAGTGATAATGAGAGGCTGACATTTCATGGTATTCCCGATGGTATTCCCGGGGGGAGAATTAGGGGAGGAAATGATTTGGAATGAAGAAATACGGGGAGATGTAAGGGTTTTAAATGTGAAGGTGAGGTGGGAAGAATTATCAACAGAGAAGAGGGGGTTGTGGGGAGGGTAGGAAGTTTAAAGTGATATGATGCGTGTTATTTGAATCTGTTCAACCACAATCACAGAACCAAATCTCCCAAGCACTTTTCCATGCACAATTTTGGACATACAAATGTACAAGCAGATATGGAGCCTATGATTGTTTGTACGAGGTCTGATTTGTAATGAAGAAAAACAGTAGAACAAGAATAGTATATTTCCACAGGAAGGCCAGCAGTCTAAAGACAAGTACCTACTAATGATTCAATCTGCTGTGCCTAATTTTAATGGATTGCAAATTAAGACTACAAAAAATAATTGCCCTGCACTGTAAGGAGCCAACCCTGGCATTTGAAAGAAAGCAAGCCATTGATAAACAGAATGTGAGCACATTGTTGAAATTAGTCTGCTAAGGAGGGAAATTTTCCAGTGAATACACTTGAAAAACTTTAATAAGACTGCATTAGCTCCTTTTTTGTAAACTTGCAAAGCATGATGGGTATACACACAAGTGCCCTGGAACATGTATTTTATAAGACGATTACCTGTACTGAACTATAAAAAGTCGGCAGCGACAGAAGTCTGAAATATTTCTACTTTTGTCTTAAAAGAATTAGAATGCATGCTTTGAAAGTTGGTAAGAATGGAATAAGAATGCTACATTTTAGTGAAAAGACGTGGCCATTCAAAGCAGTGTGTGTAGATTTCGGAACTCTTCTTTGAAGCTTTTCAGAGCTTTGTTCTTAGGGGATGTCATGTAAAGAATTTTGTCAGTGTCTATATTAGTGTATACTGTGTCAATTTTTGTAATGAAGCAGGCCATTGATGTCTTTGAAAGTTTCACCAAATTGCCACTGTCATAGTGTGAAGCCCACACCATAAAGACATTCATTTCAATTCAAAAGAGTGTGTTTACAGTGTCCAATCAACACAGTTTCCCTTTCTCATGTAGATAGGAGCCGCAGATCACTACAGAGAATTGGAAATTGTTATCCCCCAGGGAAAATAAGCACATAAACAAACAAATTAGCTGTGAAAAGGAGTGAGCATATACTACAGGGTATGTTTGTCAAAGAACGCTGGATTGAATAGTGTTCCATTGTGGTTACTACTGGTCTGTCAAGTAGACTTGTAGAACTAAACACTAACAGAAAACACTGTCTAAAGAAAAGTTTCAATCACTGTGGGGGTTATATAGTTATACAATAGTGACACCCTACATGCACTGAATTCTTTTGAAGGTTCACAATCCCTGTAAAGAAGACTCTGCCATTTTTGTACAACAAAGCATTTTCTACCTGATATTAAATTAATCGAGTTAACTTTAAACTACTGAGATAGCATAGCCCAGCCTAGGGTATATTAATTTTAGCTATACTGCAAGGCCAGTCATCATGTTATCTCAAAGAGGGATATTATTATATAGAATAAATACTATATTACTATTCAGCCCAAGCAGTTTTTGTGCAGCAAATGGTTGTTGACTAATTGAAGAGTGGATAGAGCTGTATTACGTATACAATTTACTGGTAATCACTGACCAGCCACACAAATTGTACACCAAAAGTTCAATGAGAAAAAACTAGTTGTCATGGTGATGTGAAAATGTATTTAAAATCTGATTATCTCTTGTAGTTTCTTTTATTCAAATTTAAAGAAAGCTGGACGTTGCTGGCAATTATGGTGATAGCTTTCATTGAAGCAAACTTTATACTAAATTGGTGTGTCAATGCTTTCTGTGAAATAACTTATAAAATGTTTTCAAAATTCACAAACTTTTGTTCTTAATTATGTTTCAAAGTCAAATGAAATCAAAGAAAGCTTAGAAAGAACTCCCGTGTGCTGAGAGTATTGGAGACACATTAAAAATTAATTCAAAATTACTTGAACTTGAGATGTTGATGGGAACGCAGAAAATGAATTATGCAAATAAGGTAACGAACAGATTTAAGTGTAAAACTAATAAGGTCTGCACAATGTACCAAGTTTCATTGAAATGTGATTAGAACCAAAAAAATATTAATTATTATGCTAATTAGAGAATTAATATGAACAGATTTTAACCCAAAATTAATCAGGCTGTCTATTGTCCTAGACCATTTATGTACCAAGTTTTATTCAAATGTGATGATCAATACTTGAGATATACAGTATTAATTAATTATGTTAATTAAGTGATTAAGAAGCATAAATATTTAACAAAAACTAATATGGTGTATAGTCCTAGGTTCATTGAAATGTGACAGGTACTCTTGAAAAGTTTCGTTGAAATCCAATGAGTGGTTTTTAGACATCAGTGCAACAGCCATAGAACAGCAAAAAAT